ATCAACTTTTGATTTCTAACCACAATTTCTCTTGACGGAAAATAATCAAAGGCCAAAATGACATTTCTCGCAAGTTGTGCAAGTGTGAGTATAGTTAGTCGAAAAGTTAAAAGTTTGATAACTTTTTCTACTAATTGAAAATGTCTGTTACTAATTTTGACTTTCTGAATGCTTACATTTTGAAGTTAAAGGAACAAACTACTACGCTAATTGAAACCACTAATTGCGACGTTCTGAATAAAGCTTATTAAAATGACGCACATTGTAGACTATAAAAGGTCAGTTAATACCAAAACCAACCAAACACTTTTTTCTGTGAATCTCGTTTCAAATCAAAAAATTCACCTTAATTTTATCTAATCTCGGTAGTATAAATTCTGATCTGTTTAACCAGAGGAAAAGCAAATATTTGCCGGTAAATTGCACATTAATTAAACAACACATACCGAAAACAGATAAGCAAAATCTAAGTAGACAAAGCTAGAGGCGTCGACCGTATTTCCAAAATTCTGGAGTGTTCCAAATGTGTCTGATATAAAATTAATACGCATCGAACGAAACTTGCTTTGGTTATCTAAAAAACTTAAATTCAGATAAGCAAAGTAAATAGAAAAACATAAAAATGTCTTATTCTCAAAATTTAAAATGTGTATACCTACCTATTGCTTTAGACTTCTAGGTACATATTTTCTATTTTGTGATCACAGTATAGTCCAGTGATTGAGAAACAATGAAGATGGCTGGAAAATGACAATCGATGATAATTTTGGCGAGGTCAAGCCCTAGCAGACGTCATGACTTGGTCCGTAATCTTCCTTACTTTTTATTCGCGCTTACTGCGTTACTGCTGTTGGTCTTAAGAAAGGTTGAAAATTATTTTTATTTTGAGTAAGAATGATTTTTAAATGGTGTAGATTAAAATTCGAGAAAAAATATTTTATGGAAATAGACTTGTGTCTCTGGAAACCCGTTCTATCCTTTTCAAAATGTCATATCTCTATAAACAAAACAGTTAGTAAAACTATAAAAGCTATGAGAGTTAATACATATTATTGACTTCTTAAACTACAAGAATGTAATAAAAAATTATAGAAACATGTGATTTTGGTCAAAGTACTATAAACAGTTTATCATAAAATATGATGGTCAAAGTACTACAAACATATCATCTTGAAATGTAATATACTTTATCAAACTACTCATATTTGTCTAGGTACTGTATTATAAAGATATAAAAACAATAATAAAGTGTAGCCTCTTAAGAACGTAGCCTTAAAGATAAGATCTCTGGCTATTTTATAACGAGAATATTTATACCATTTATTGAACAAATAATATACAGAGCAATCAAAAATTATTATAATATTTGGCTATTCTGATGTTGCTCGTTTGGCTGGTAGTAAATTTAACAAATTCGAATATTGATCGGCTGATATCACTAGCGTCAAACCAAACCCAAAATTAAATAATGTGATCAATTTTTTGACAAAATTTAAATTAGTTTTTCATATGAATATGACATCATAATAATGAGGAGATGAGAAATAAGTGAATTTATATAAAAGATAGGTAAAGTTAATAAATCCCATATTAAGGATCTTAAACTACACAAAAATAGTAATAGTAACTTTTTACAATGAAAAATATGCCGATCTCACTACTAACAAAGTCAAAGCTTATACATTTACAAAAAGAAAAAAATGACTTCAATGAATTGAGATAATTTACTGAAATTTTTTGATTAATAATTTGTTTTAACAACAGTGGCAATTACTAGTTTAGTAGTACTAAAATCCTCTAAGACAGTAGTGCCAACTATTTCAGTGATCGTTGACCGTTCCGTATATACCCGTATTATATCTTTAACGTACCAAATTACCAGAACAAACAAATATGTTGAATATTTTCCCATAAATAACGTCCGTAATTCCACAGAAATAAAGACTTTCTTTTCCCAGCGATTTTACAACAACAATAACCCTAATCGAAATGACCGTTAAACTCACTTTACATTTTTACCTGTTATTTCCGTAGCATACATTTTTCCCTTATTTTTAACGCGTTGACCAGCGTCCGAGCCCTTGTCCAACCTTTTCTTGTCCCGGAAAGGGTTAAAATTGACTTTTCCTCGTCCGCCGCAAACAAACCACCCCTTTCTCGTGACCTTATTCCAACCCTCGAGAGCACGTTCCTTGCCGATTAAAAAACGCGACTCGAACATGCGCTAGGACATGCCGCGAGGGTTATTAAAAGAAGATTCTCCCTTAAATGAATTGCTTAAGGGTCTGCTGGCTGAGCGCGTGTCCCTTAAGATTGTATTTAAACCGTTTTTTATGATAGACACGCTTTTGGACAGGTCTCTTCACCTTTTGTCCAGTTTAATAAATTGCTTTTACTCTTTTACCTGTCTTTACTATAATTAATATGCTTGTATATTGTTTTCTGGTTATTATACTATTGAATAGAAAAGTATTTTAAGTAATAAGATTGTAGATTATATGGGAGGGGGGTTTAAAGTTCACCGGTTATTACATTTGCCTTATAGATCTATAGTTTCCCCATTTCTTGAGTTATAAGAGTTATAACTCATAGCACAGTCATGGGCAATTATCTGAGGTTAGTTCTCCATCTCCCGATATCAGTCCTACCAAAGTTTATAGCACAAATGTTTGTCGTCTCGACGCATTCAGTGATCAGGTGTTTCTCCATTTTCCCCACAGCATCTGCATTCACCGTTGTTTTTTAGTTTCAATCTATTGAGGTGTTCATTGAGGAGAAGGTCTGTTCAATTTTTCAAGTTAAAAACTACTTCCATAGACCACATCTTAGACCATTGAAGGATTCCCGTTCTTAAGTTTCGCTTTGAGTTGGTTTCCACTTGGGAAGCAGAACGGTTCTAGTCCAGTTAGTGGAGTGCTCGCTCCTTTTCTTACTAGATCGTTTGCTTTTTCATTACCTTCTTGCCTAATTTGTTCAGCATCTCTAGGCATTCTTTGGCCAACTTCAAATCGATGATTATTGACTTGATCGCTCTTAAGAGTTCTTGGCCATCAGATAAATTGGCTATTTCTTGTTTCCGATAGTTCCTAAGATAATATGTACGCATTGGTTCGAGGTTTTTAGTTTTCAGCACAAATACTCCTATCCCTGTTTCTGCTTTAGTTTTGAAAGAATCGCTATACCACGTTATGGTATGTTCTTTTAACTGCTGAGCAAACGTTTCTCTGTTCCAATTCTTTTTGTTACACAATAATACAATAAGGTGTTTTTCCAAGTTGTACATTCTTGGTAGTTTTAAATCATAATAAAAATATAATTATGAATTATTTGCTTTTGGTAGCCCTTCAATTTTATAGATCTTAGATCAACTAGTAATTATATCACCAAAATTTGAATTAGTTGCATAAAGCAAAAATTAGTGTATATTTGGAGCACATATTTCTAATTTGCGGTTTAGTTTCGGACAATTATTCTATTATTTTGGCAAATATTGCCGTCAATAAAAATAACATCATTTGTTTGTACTGAATTGGAGAATTAAATGAATCAATCAATTGCTTTTGCCAAGTAATCATTTATTCGCAATTGAGATGGTTATTTCGTAATTTTTCTTCGGTAGATGGAAGAGATATTCTCCGTTGTGATATAATATGGGCCCAATATAGTATGGTAGGTTTTATTCCTGTTTTGCTATGTTGAAGACCATAAAATCGCTAGCCAATTAAGTATAATTTGGGATAATTGTTAATTTGTGATTGATATTACTAATCTGTTTTTATTAAGGTAAATTATTGAATATTGTCATATACATACCTTTGTAAATTGCGGAGGCGTTTCAATCATAAATGTTTGCTTTAAATTATTTACGGTTTATTTTTGGACAAAAAAATATTTTTTCGCAGTTTTTTAAGAACTCTAAACCATATGTTACAAATGTCTATTTAAGGATAAATTTTTATACAGAGAAAAACAAAAAGTTAAATATTAAAGCATTTTTGATAAATTTTGGTTGATGGTAGAGAAACATTCCCATAAAAAAGATCTTTTACACTAAGTTAAATCCAAAAAGTTTCATAATCTAAAGAGAACAATTCTTCTAAAAAGACAAAAAGCAATTTTTGTGGAATTTTTTTTTAATGTCAATAATAATGACTCAAACCCCTATGGATCACAGAGCATTTTCGCCAATTATTAACATAACATAAACATTGCCAATAGAAAGTCACTTGTTATTGAAGATTTTTACCAAATCGTTGAAACTTTTAGGTAAAAGTTGTTTTAAACTAAATCTAGCTTCTTGGTAAAAAAGGGTTCAATGACAAAAATTTTACAAAAATTGAAGAGCCTATAATTTTATTACCAAAATGATTAAAGATCTATAACTTCCAATAAATCTACATTTTTCTGTCTCACATGATTTATTGGAATTGAAGTGACAAGATAATGACTATATTTATCTATTTCAACCAAAATTATCAATTATCTCCATATTTAACATGTTTTATTTGACTTGCTTATATATTTCGGCTACATGTCTTCAATTCTCTTTAATTACAGGTACCGATACTTAATGTAATACTAGTAAAATTTGCGTTATTTTATAATTAAACTCATAGCCAATAATTTAGCGCGCTCTATTTCTGACGCATCGGCATCGCGAGATAAGATAAATATTCCCATTCATGACGGCATCACCAAGTTTTGATGACACCGGCAATATTTGCGCAACTTAAAACAATAATAATAAGGACCTTTGATTCACCATAATACACCAAAACACTTTACTTTTAAACACTGTACGCGTGCTTCGCTAATCAAGTTAGCATCATCAGCAGATGATTAAAAGTGAGTTACTTAATTTTAACTTTTTTTATTTTTTGCTATTATGATGATGATGACGGTTAGCAAAATGCGCGGCCAGTGTCTAAAAATATAGTGTTTTGGTGTAATGTGGTGAATTAGTGTTTTATTTTGCGAAAATATAATAATAAATGACTTACCTTGAGCAATTCTCACTGCCGGCATTTTAATTCTCATCTTGAAAACTTTGTAAGTCTCTGGTTCGCCGACGAAAACAAAAAACTAGTTCATAACAAAATCAAAGGAAAATAAACAACAATCACAAAAAACTTTTCTTCCTGCTGCGCTCCATCACTTAGTCCTCGCCCGAAAAAAATTACAGTCCGACATCCGGTGCGACCACATCGAAAACAAATAAATGGTCAGTTGGTACTCGACCGAATGAAAACGGAGCGCTCAGGACAAATACGTAATGACAGTCCTGCGAAAGCGGAGATGATGCTGCCTGCGTGTGTTCCTGGACCACTGGCTATCTCGATGGTCCAAACGCGTGTGCCGGCGTCTAGATCCAGCGGGCAGCTTTCAAGCCCCGTGGATACTTCGGTAACGGTCGGCGACCTTCGGTTGAGCTCGCGCGGGCTACTTACTAGCCAGCGGTCCTGTGAGAGAGAAACGTGTGTGTAGTGCGCCGCGCCGCGGCAGCAGGACGAAGACGGAGGGGTGGGTTTGAGTGCCGGCGGGGCGGCCGGGGCGGGAGGGGATCTAAAGGGATGCGATGCGCGAGCGTTGGCGGAGTGGGGGACGGCCAGCGGGCATCCGGAAGTCGTGTTCCGGTACGGCTCCGGTAACCGCCGTTAACGCTGCTGGGGCGCTCAGGATTTAACATCTTCACGATATTCGCAAAACTGCGACAAACGAGACGTACGAGGTGTGCTGTTGTTGTAATGAGTGGTAGTCGGGGTATGTCGATTCTACACGATTTGTGTCGAACTGAGTCGATAAATATAAAATATTTTTTGTCTGTTTTTTCTACCTTCTCCTAACTGTGGCTATCATCTTATAATGTTTGTCCATCCTATTTGCAGCTCAGAATAATTCAGTTATTGTTAGGCCTGTCCATTTTTCATAATAGCAATCATTTCTTGAGTTTTTCAAGAATCGCCATGTTAGTTGAATAGTGTTTATAAGAGACTCGTACCATGTGACGGTAGCACCACATTTCGAATGCTTAAGCGTTTGGTGGCAGACTCTGTAAGCTCCAGTTATCTACTCCATAAAACATAAAGGGGGACACCGAAGACGTAGCATCTGTAGCCATCTACCCTTTGTAGTGGTATATTGTTTACTGTAAACTATTAAATTAACTTATTATTTTAATCTTTTTTCAGTTCAGTCTCAGTCCATATTTTTATTATTGGCTTATATGACATTGTCTATCATTATCTGTAGCCCATCCATCCGGACATCTGCGAGCAATACATTGTTGTCTGCTTATCTAATATTAATGATAAGTTGGCCATTTATTGTAATATCTGTGTGGTACTTTTATTCTATAGTACTATGTTCTCTATTAACTGGTATTTAATTCTTTAAATTTTTCTAAACAAGGTATATTGTACAGAAATTCTAAATTCAAATGCTATTCCTGTTGTTAGACAAAATATTTAAATTGGTTTTTAGTGCTGAATTTTTGTATAGTTACTTACCTACCGCAAAAAATATTCTGCCTAATGTATAATTCATTCTAAGGTTAATTTCCCTTTTTTTTTAGATATATGATCTTTAACCTACATTGTTTTAAATCACAAAAGATTTGAATTTAAACCAGAGGTCAACATTGGACCTTTGCAAAAAAATCATTTTAAGGGACTTAAATTCAGTTATTATTTTATTATAATATTTTAACAATGGCACCAATTTTTCCTTTAATGTTATAATAGGATAAAATTGAATACAAAAATGTAAAAAATGACAACATTTCATTAACATAAAAAAATAATTTAAATAAATGTGATTAATATCCTTTAGTTTTTGTAGAATATTATATGATCTAGCGATCTAATTGACTTTATACTATTTATGGGTTGCATTAATTTTACTGATTATTTTTTATTCATTTCTTTCTAAAACATTTAAATAAAAAATGTCGGTCTAATGATGTATCATGTAAATAACTCAAACTCTAATAATTGTATGGTTTCAAAATAGGGAAAGAAAATGGATATCATACATAGGTATATGATGTGCCAGGAATTACTAAAACTGATCCAGATATTCTGAAATTAATAAAAAATCACATTATTTATTTTTTAAGAGGCATATTTTAGAGCTTCGTTATATGTTATCTTAACAGTGATCCAGAGATTGGCACATTCACCGGTAACTACTTGACGGAATGAAGCCTAATGCCAATATTAGAAAAACTAAATTGATTTGAGTTTACACCAATAACGCTATATTTACCATTGGAACAACACTATAGAGGAGGAAAATAATTTTACTTACCTGGGTAGTGTAATCTCAACCAACAAAGGGACAGAGCAAGGTATCATAAACAAAATGGACAAGGCCAGAATAACATTCGAAGTGTCCGAGAGAAAAACTTGATAAGCGCCAATTTCTTAATTTTGGGATTATACAATATTATAGTAGGTCTAACTGGTCCCTACTAAATGTATAAACTCGTTAAATCCTATGATATATGCCTAGTAAAAATATAAAATACACGGAAAGAACCTGATAACCGCCAGGCGTCTAGTGTTCTCCTGTAAAATTAGTAAAATGACGCTTATCATGTTTTTCCCCTGGACCCTTCATTTGGAATGCTCAATAATTATTTGGAGATCTAGACAGTACTCTCAATATACAAAACTTAAAATTTTCAGTTCAAAAGAGTCACTATTCCTGTATGGTGCCAGAGACCTGCAAAAATTACACTTCCATTAATTAACAAACTCCAAGTATCCACAAGCCACTGAAAAATTGTAGGAATATTCTAGTAACCAACCAAAGGTAGATACATAGTGAGATCAAACTGAGGAAATAAAGGTGGATTGATCACACATTAAGTGAAGCGGTAACAATATCGCTGGCAGAGCTATTGAGTGGAACCCACAAAGCAGTAGAACTGGTCCAAGACATACATGGCAAAGAACAATTAAAAAGGAGATCAAAACAGTGCCTGTTCAGTCAAACGGTACCAAGTAAAATGTATATTGTATGTGGTCCACGCCAACGGACCACAAGCGAAGTGAATTGTCATATTGGTCAACAGATCTCGAGAATGGTGAACAAATTCACCAGGGCAAAGACCGAAAAAAGAGTTCATAGTAAAACAGTCGTCAAAATGACAGCTCAGATAAGCAGAGATAGAAAAACTGTAAAAGCTGTAGTTGGTTTACTAATGGAACGTTGCTTCTTAGCCATGACAAAGCTGACCGAATGAACGGATAAAGCTATGTACCGAATTTGTCAATATCTTATACCTAAATGTAAGGTGCAACAGACTGGCATGTAATTTCCTATTGTGGACCAAAAGATGGATGATTTGGATGAAGATCGTCTTTGACCGAAGATATAAATGCATATAGGCTCTCTACAAGTATCTTAATATCTTCTTTGTTTCTTGATTTTTTCGATTCAAAAGATTAAAATTAATTATTTGATCACTCTTTTACACTGTCTCATTCTGTCCAGGTTGTCTTTTGTTTTAACCATCTCCTGAGACAGAAGTGCACAGCTGAATGGACAAAGGTTTATAAATAAAACATTACTTGACACTATAAAAATGAACTTGTAATCCCAGGTTTTATGATGCAATATATATTTTATTTTTTGTTACTTTCTTGTCGTTTGTCAAAACCAAAGCAAGGATATTAAAGGATTAAGAATTTATCTTTTATAATTTTCTCTTTTATTACTGCTCTCAGATCAAACTTTGACACTGGTATTTAGTCTAGAACGACTCAATTTTTCGGTAGCTTGCGTATTAGTGGCATTTAGATTTTGATTGATAAGCTTATGTATCGTTGCCGGTGATAATAAATCCCGAAATATAGATCAAGTTTATTTTTAGTTATATATATTTTCAAACATACAAAAAATGTGAGGTTACAAGTGTTAGCACTTAAGTAAATAGTAAACTATTACTTGTACAGGGAGATTGGACAAAATAGATTAGAGATCTATTGTGTCCCCCTTTCTTGAGTTATAACTTATCATACAGTCCCAGGACTTCCTACGGAGACCCATGTCCTTCACAGTCGAGGAGCTACGACCCAGTCCGGGTAGACGAAACGGTAGCTTGTGTCGCCTGTTGGGTTTAGAGGCAGGAGGTGGTAACTTGTATGCCACTTGCGGAGGATGGTCTCACGCAAGTGTCAGCCACCTCTCCTGTAGTTCTCTTTGGGTTTGGCCCCTTGGAACTTTCATTGTAACTGTTCCCAGTGTTGCTAGGGGGTTTCCCCACAGCTTCACCGGTGATGTTTTTATTACTATTATTACCAGATCTCATAGTGTTCCCATGAGTCGCTAGGGTCAGTCGGTCCACTTCTACAGAGCCCCGCATGTAGAAGTAAGGGGTAAAATACAATGGGGTGCCCCCGATGCCCCAAGGTTGAGGCTGTCCGTAGCTCCGCCCGGTATCGTTATATGTCTTGGTGCAATTCCCTGGCCACGACACTACAGCCAGGGACAAGACGATGAGTGAGATGCTTCTTAGACCAAGCCAAGTGCTAGGCGGAATTCCCCCCAGCACCTGACCAGGAGCTTCCCCAACAACGACAAGGTCTTGCATCTCCTAGGGGAAGGGCTGGGATCTTAGTTAGATATTCAATTATTCTAGAAATTGGCTGCAAAAAGTTGCTGATAACTTCAGAGTTCTGGGTTCAGTTCATCAATATTGGGTTCAAAGTCTACTAGTTAAAAGTGGCAAACTTTTAAAAATTCTATATTTCGACTATAACAAAAGTCAAGTGTCAAGTGTGCTATATTTTCGGAAAAGTAATTTTAAGTCCTTTTCAGTTAATTAAAAATATACAGAGTGTCCCAAATAAAAAATCAATTTTTCTGTTGATAACTCTTAAATGAAAGGTATAGTGAGAATCAACCTTTAAGTTCCTTTACGCTTGGAAAGCAGAACGGTTCTAGTCCAGGTAGTGGAGTGTTCGCTCCTTTTCTAGATAGATCGTTTGCTTTTTCATTGTCTTCTGTCCCTTGGTGAGCTGGCACTCAGAGTAGGAGAACTTTATTTTCTTTGCCTAATTTGTTCAGCTTCTTTAGGCATTGTTTGACAAACTTCGTAAGTGTAACTAGAAATTGTCAGTTTGTGCAGTTCAAAAATTTGGCTTGAATAAAATCGGTCTTGTCTTCATTGTTTCCTTAACACGGTTTTAGATAGTTCACAGTCATAGTTTGTTTATCGAATGTGTATTTAATTGTTGGGTGAGTTTTTTAAGATAGTTTAATATTGACGGTTGTCAATGTATGGTTTACGCACTTTTGTCATTTTTAATCGACTTAACGGAATCTTTTTGACATGAAATGCGTTGACACGGGATATGCTTTCAAGTTAGTTGAATTTTTAGTTTAGAATTAATTAGTTTAAGAAACCACCCTCAATGAACGATTTTTGATTTGTGGGCAAAACTGCAGGAAATTTGGGATAATTTTTCTCCTCAAATGTGCCAATCTTTGGTAAATACAATGCCATTAAGAGTTCAGGCAGTTGTTAAGGCCAAAGGTGATGTAACTCCGTATTAAACAAATTTCTTGTTGTGCTGTCCCAATATATAGTTGTCAGCAAATTTGGCTTGATTTTGGCAAAATAAGCTATTATCAAAAGTGATTTGTTTGCAAAGTTATAAAAATGTCGTAAAATCGTCTAG